ACAGCAAAGTTAGTAAAGATCCCAAGTAAACAAAGCGTGAAAAAACAGAGTATTTGTCAGGCCGGCTACCTCTAGAGCACCGACTGCTGAGGCCACAGGCGGCCAAAAAGTACTCGTCATAGAGCCACTTGAAGCTCGGGACGCAGTTTAGGGGTACTTGCTCTCGTACCCCTGAAGTAGAGTTCACCCTAGTCTCTACTTTGAAGAGTCCTTTGTCTAGGATCTCTTTTTTAGCCTTTGGGGGAACAGGCGGCATGCTGCGGCCGCCTGCGAGAAGAGGCGGATCCCTATTCCACTTGTTAAAGCGTTTGTTCAGCTCCGTGTCTGAACCCTCGATGATAAGGAAGGTGTTCCGCCAATCCTTCCATTTGTTCGCCTTACCTCTCGTCATGAGGTAGCCCCTATGGCTTGTTAATTGATACCAGCCGGTACCTCCCGACTTAGGGGTCCGGCTGAGATAGTTCATGTGGGAGAAAGCCTCAAAGCTTGGCTCCACCCCGTACATTTCGCACCCGGCCACATAGCCGAGTACGTTTACCCAAGAGTTGGGGGCTAACTGCCATAACCCCAAATCATACCCATCTAAAATCCGCTGAACAGCCGGATGTAATGGGAAGCGCAGTCCAGCTTTGATGGCCGCCACATAGCAGCCAAAGCAGCCGTCATCATAGCTGGTACCAGCCGGCCAGACGACAGTGTCTTCTGGATCCGGCACGAACAGTAAAAATTCGGGGCCCATTCTGTGGTTAGCTATAAAGCTCTCCACTTTGTCTTGCATGGCTGCGATCCGGCCCCGGGGTACCGTGCAGTAGTAGGGGGTGTTTTCCTCTCTGTAAGAGGCGGACGGCTCCGCCCAATTGTCCCCCTTCTCAACTGCATGAGAAAGCCTCGCCTCTTGTAGGCGGCTGTTTCTTTCTTCTGAGCCTGGAGAAGCGTGGCCAGAAGAGCTGGACTCGGACTCGTCCTCTGACGAGTCCGAAGAGGACGACTCCTCCCCTCTCCCAGAGGGGCCCGCCTCCTCTCCCTTAGAAGGAGTAAGAGGAAAATTAGACATATCAACGGTGAAATGGGAATGGACCACCTTGACCCCTCCCTCAGAACTGTCGGCTTGGCAGCCGCCTCGTTTCACTTCTACATCTGGCGCCTGGTTAGATGTTTCACTAATGAGCACCCTTTGGGAGGAGCCGTCCGAGTTTGAGATCATAGCAGTCTTTTTCGTTCTGGCCATCACGTTCTGCATAGACACAGATACAGTCGGACTTTGTATAAAGGGCAAAGATGGGTCCAGAAAAGGGCAGGCGGCACTCCTAGTCCTAGATTCAGCCGTCCCCGGTGACCGGCTGATCACTAACTTAGGTCGTGTCGTGTGCTTCCGTGGTGCCATTTCAAAAAATAAAAAGAAAATTAAGAGTAAGAGAACTGAGTTACCTGAACGAGTGACGGTTGATAAAGTTCTGGAAATCCGGTGCAGTCGGCTTGTCAGAACAGGCGGTAGGCAGAAAAAGTCCAAAATGTCAGAGCAAGTTCAGGGGTCCGAATGTTCTCGCAAAGTTCTCAAATGTGAAAATGACCGAAGTCAGCACTTCCTTATATAGGCAAAGTGAGAAGGCGAAGGGTCGCTTCCAAATTCAAAATTTGGGCGGGAAAATCTCTCGGCCATTTGCAAGGTGACACCTGTAGCAGGCCGTCGCCTGTCACCGTGCAGCACCTGTCACAGGTGACACGTGACCAGTCACGTGCCACCTGTGAGGGGCAAATGATTAGGGGATTTTTATCCACCAATCACCGTCTGACAAGTGGACCAACCAGGTTCCGCCACGTGTCCTTCACGTAGGCCAATAGGAGCCTGCCACGTGTCAATCACAGATACGTCCTCTACGGACCAATTGAGACACGCCACGTGTCCACCCATGCCAAATGGGAAAACCGGCCAACAAGGCCCAATCCTGTTTAGAGGCCCGGTCAGCCCTAGGTTTACCCTAAACCTAGAGAGTGGCACGCTTCTCAAGACTATAAATACTTAATTAATCCTCATTAAGAGAGAAGAAGAAGAACAGAACAGGAACAGAAACATTACGGAACACACTAATAACCGGCTGATCTCGCTAACAAAGCAGATTACCAACATTAAACACTCTCACCTAGAGAGACCTTATTACTTTAATTTCCGCACTTATTACTCAATCAGGTACTAACTTGACCGTTGGAGGCGGAGCTCTCAGGAGTCTCCGTTATTTTGCAGGTACAGGCGTCCGGTTCCAGTCTCGGAATTGTAACTCTCCCGCAGGACATCAGAAAACTCCGAAACAATTTTCATGTGTTTTTTAACGTGTATTAAACAATCATCTTTCACCTTGTCTAAAAAAACACCTAACAAATTAATAACTATGTAGGTTTTTTTTTTTTTTTTTTTTTTTTTTTTTTTTTTTTTTTTTTTGTGTGGAGAAAGAATAAGCTTGTAGTCTTCTCATTAACATTATCGTCTTTGAATAGATTAAATACTTTCCTACATAAATTTTTTTTTTTTTAAAAAAAAAAGATAAGCTACTTATTTTTTTATATTTTGAAATATTATATCTTTTAGTCCTTTTTTATTTAAAAAAAATTCAATATACTACCTCCATTAACTATTATTTGCAACAAAGGAATATTTTATATCTCACAAATAATACCCCTTTGTTACAAATAATAGTTAACAGAGGTAGTCTATGTAATATTTTTAATTTAATATAACCCTTGAAAGATTACCTCCTCTACTATTTTGAGTTAACAAGATATTCATACTTTTGCTCTGTATTATATTAATGTATAAAATATTGTATCTTTCACAAAGTAACAACTTTTAAAATATGAAGTAATACAAAATAGATAATAGAGCAATCTTTAAGAAATAGAAAAAAAAAAATACTGTAATAATTGTGATAAAATGATAATGCGCCTTAGTTTGTTTTGAGTTGTGTGGGTTGATATATATTAATAAGACACTCTCAACTCAAATTGAAAGGCTGTTGATGTACCTTACAAATTAAACTTTTAATTTTTAATTTAGGTATTGTAGATTAAAAAATCCCAAAATCTAGGGCAAAAAAAAACCCCAGGATAACCTTAGTAGACAATCCAACTCAAAACCCAATCCACCAATCACGCAAACCAAAAACCCTTTTGAACAACCAATAAAAAAATAATAAAAAAATGACATCACAACATAAAATCTCTCCCATACAATTTCAGTCGCTTTCCAACCGTCCACGTGGTACTATTCATCTTCCCCACCCCATCATATCCAACACACCTTCTTTTCATTGGTCCACGACTCCTCTCTACCTTCTGGAATCCTCTCCCATGAAGAACACACCTCACTTCTTTAATTTCTATCTACGATAATTTTTTAAATAAAACGAGTAATATGTACGTACGTGGTACTTCCTCAAGCAAAAGTTACAATGGAGTACTGTATAACCTAAAGTACATACTATGTATTATACAAGTATGTACTTCATACAGTGTATTCTATATAATTTTTTAATGTTCAAGTTCCTTTTTTTTAATACTACGAAGTAAGAAATTAATACTTTGTTTATTCATCGTTTGGTTTGGAAATGAAAATAGAGGGGAAAAGAAACAAATAATAAGAGGGAGGAAAGGAATTATTTAGTTATTACGGAGTACTTTTTTATTTGTTTGGTTTAACATTAAAAATAGTATTGTATTTGATAAGAGAAGGGTAAGGGTATTTGTGTTTCTAAGTTTTTTAGAGGAAACAAATGAGGGGGAACTATTACCCTCGGATAATGGTAATTGTTAGCGTGTTCGGAAAAAATAGCTGCGAAGGTAGTTGTTAATTGTGAAGCTAGCTGTAAGCTGTATAGGTAATTTTTAGCTGTCAACAAGTTGTAGCTGTGAAGATAGATAATGTAGGTATGAATGTTCGATAAAGTAGCGGTCGACTATCTGTTACATATAAAATTCAATATTTAAAACTATAAATTAAATTTTCAACGGGTACCTCAAAAGCTACCTCTACTTTAAAAAGCAAATATTTCTAACTTTTTATAATCTCCACCGCTAAAAGCTCCCCTAACCACTAATTTGCCAAATACTCACATTTTTTTGTTAAGTAGTGAAAGTTACTCAAACGCTAGCGCCGAACACGTCCTATACTTTCAAACCAAACACACGGTAATAACGGTATCTGTTTAATCATTTATAGTGAGTGTGGTTTACAGATCTGAATTTCTGTACCATCTCCCCTAACCACGGATTCGATTAAACAGATAATATGATTAATCAAACGTCCGATAATTTCTGTACCTAATTATAGTGAGTATTAAATAGTGTACCATCTCCCCTCACTATTTAATCAAACATCCTACCATCATTTATAGGTACAGAAATTATAGGACGTTTCAAAAATACACTAACCAAACGTCCTATAATTTCTGTACCTAAGAAAGATTAATCTCACACTGTTTTTAGAACTAATAATTTATTTTTACACTATTTAATACAGAATACTTGTTTTAATTTTCATTTCATTATTTTTATGTATTTTTATATATTGGAGTATATAACAATACACCCTTTTGAATATTAACAGCTAGAGTTAAGAAATATGTTTTTGTAAATGTATCAATTAAATTGTTATGGTACGGAGTAGAAAAAAAGGTATAATATACGTTCTATCATAGTAAAGTAACCATACATTTTTGTAAGGATAAGATAAGATAAGAAAACCTGCTGAATCGGCACTTCTAACATATTATACAATCAGGTTTGCAAGCCAATGAGCGAGAGAGTATACGAGAAAATAAGGAAATAAAATCTCCTTTTTTCAAACAAGGTGGTGCTCAAACTCGAAAATAAAAATTACCGGAGAATGGCATACAATTGGACGGTACGATGGTGTACCTAAATTATCTTTATCGAAATTACGAAATTACCCCCACCTCTTTGAAAAAATTTTAGGCTACGACCAACCAAACACATCGCACGAGGTATACGCCAACGTGTCCACCTTTGAAAGAGGAGAGAGAAAATACAACACTCTCTGAATCCTGATTGGTTAACGTACGAGGCTTCCATCCCCCCAACACACAACTATTCGTCAAGTCGTCTTTTCCTTTGTTGTTGTTGTTGGGTGGGGTGTGGTAGGCCCCACTTCCCTGCTAACCAAATATTAATGCCACGTTTTGCTTCTCATCCAATCACATTCTTTTAACTGTTATTGCTACAGTCCTCACACGTGTCTTATCCTCCTCACACGTGTCTACCTTAGTACTACAAATCCCACCTTATCTCTCTTTATTTCTTTGCCTATCTATTATACTCAGTGCGCCTCTTTCTTTGCTCAACAACAAAATAATCCAAACAACCAACAAACCCCGCCCCCCCCCCCCCCCCCAAAAAAAAAAAAAACCAAACAAACAAACAAACCCTAGTAGCTTGTATTATCAAATTACATGGCTGATGGAGGAGGTGGAGAGTGTTGTATAGCGAGGTGGGGTGGTGGTGGCCACGTTGCGGCGAGTGGTTACAATACAACGTCCAAGATGGATATGATAATGCTCAAGTTTCGACCGATTGCCCCGAAGCCGGTATCTGGGACTGCACCGGCTTCTGAAGGCGGTAGCGGAAGTAGTGGGAGTGGGAGTGGGAGTGGAAGTGGCCGCCATGCGAAAGCAGGCGGCCGAGGAAGGAGGAAAACTAATAGTAATAACAAGGACAATAGTAGTAGTAGTAATAATAGGTGCAACAACAATAGTAGTAATAATAGGAGGAAGAGAAAGTCGAGCTCACCGGATCGAAAAAATGATCTTGAAAATATTGTTTCCGATAATTATCAAGATCAAAAATCAGATCTAACACTACTTCCTTTGTTTCCTGAAGCACCTGATCTTAGCCCTACCGGCCAAGATCAGGTGCACAACATGCCCCTCTGGCTAAACTTTGATAATAGTAATAGTAATAGTAATAGTAATAGTAATAGTAATAGTAATAGTAATAGTAATAGTAATAGTAATAATGATAATATTTGTAACAAAAGCGGGAGTAGCCCGTCTTTTGAGGGTAATTACAACAACTGTCACGTTAGTTGGTGGTAAACAGACCACCAACTAGCGTGGCGAGATCTGAGAGCTCCAGCGAATAAGGTCGTAGTAGAATTTTCAAGAGATCGACAAGTGGAGGATCAATCGATCGATCTTCAGGTGGTGGATGGTGAGATTTGCATGGGGATGGGACGTTAAAGCCCCGCCCTCGGCTTATGTCGGTAATTATTATTATCATCATATTATATATTCAAATATGCCTAAGATCGTATTATTATTATTAGAGATATATTAAGTAAATATTTTGAGTGATGCCTAAGACCTAATTGTAAATATTTTTGCGACAACTTTAATTTGTTTGGTTTTAGATCTTTTTCATCAAATCTAGCTTTTAATTTTTATATTTTTATTATTATATTCTATGTAGTAGTAGTTAACTAGCTATAGATCTCCCCTTCCCCTTGTATGAAATTTCTTGAAAATTTATCAATCTTTTTTTCCTATCGATTAGATCCAAGGAGTACGACTGACTTACAATAATTTAATTTATTGTGAGATCGGATTGACTTTTCTAAACTCGATATCGATTGTTATTTGTGTTACTTATTATTGTTGAATACGTACCATGATTATCATGTGGGTGACAGAAGCGATTTAACTAGCAGGTACGAAAATATACTCGTGAAAACAACACTGTATCTTTCAACATTAAATTATTTTGTGGAATTACCGAATTACGTGTCACAAAGGTACAGAAATTCAGATCTGTAAGCCACAACTCACTATAAATGATGGTACGTTTCAAAAACTTTTACCGTTAATTTCAGTAAATTAATTATACTCCGTATTTGTAAAGTAATCAAATTATTTCCTAGTAATACCAAGTAGTAACAAGTACGGTACTAAACATCATTGAAATTAGCAAATCTATCTTATTGCATCAAAATATAAATATTAAAAAATTATTATAGATTTAAACATTTGTAATGTTATGTTTTTTTAATTTAAATTTTTAAACGACAAGAAATTTTTTAAAAAAATAATAAGGTTATTATCATATAGTGGTTATTTCTGGTAATACTAGTATAATACTATAATGTATGCAAACTTTAGAGTTCTTTAATAAAGCTGTTACTAATTTTTCTTTTTATGGTTCAACCTTTATCAAAAATATTTATTAGGGGTACGGTCATTTATTTATTATTCTGTAGCATTTTCTTAAAATAAGTAAAAGTTTCGAGTTTAAAGTAGTGAAAAACATTTTTAGTAATTTCACAAAATATTAATCCGATTGGTTGTTGCATGAAATTAAAATGAATTTCTATGCTCTTTTAAAAGAGCTAATCATCACTACCGTGAATAATTTTTTATTTTAATGAAAGATTAATCGTTAATTTTTCATTAATTTTGACCTATAATTCGATTTTAAAAATCATCACTACTGCTTTACATGGAATATTTCTTCATTTTTTGAATGATTTTTCCATTTGGGGTCATGGTTGAGTGGCTTGAGCATGAATTTTATCATTTTTTTAAATTTTTTTTTTAATTTATGCTCGTTACTAATAAGAAGAAAGTCCAATCAATGATGAAAAATGGATTTTTAGTAAAAAAAAATTGGTGATTTTTTTTTTTTTTTTTAAGAAATTGGCCCTGAAAAACTTGTTAAGGTTGCTAGAATTAGATTTCATAAAACAAGATAAATGTACAAAATTTAGAACTCAATATGGGTGAAAAATCCGAATTTATCACACTCAAATACTCAATGAATTTGATGGATGAAAGTATTTCATCCATGTTGTAAAATTTGGCAATGTTGCAAATGATAGAGTATAAAACATATTCTAGTGAGCCTCAACCATCAGTTTAAGCTTTTGGTTGAGATGGTCCACTAACATGGTATCGGAGCCAACGTGACATAGAGATCACGGGTTCGAATCTCATCCACCCCTCCTTTAAAAGTGGAATTAATTCGCGCCGGGTATGCGAGGGCCTGTGCTGCATCCACATTTCAAGCCCAAAGGGCCTTTCATGTGACGGGGAGTGAAAGAGTATATAACATATTCCTGGGCCTCAACCATCGGCTTAAGCTTTTGGTTGAGTTGGTCCTTTAACAAGGTATCAGAGCCAGCGTGATAAAGTATAAAACATATTCGATAACGAAAGTGTAAAACTACATACATATACTCCGGTACTCCCGTATAAATGGACATTGGACAACATTTAAGTATTTCTTGTATTAAATTTTCTTTGTTACCCTTAATTTCTTTGAAGCTGAAATGATAGCAATCATATTCATAGCATATGCTCTTTAATTAAACGAAGTCTACAAAAAAAAATTCCTTCAAAGGTGAAGCTAGCTCTTGTCGATTGATTTGTTATAATACGGAAAAATGTATGCGTAGTATATTTTTAATTTTTTAGGGTTTTTCTAATTATTTTATCTAATAATGTCTCACTCTTTAATAGATATATCAATTCAAGTAGAACGATTTTTTTTTTTTTTTTTTTTTTTTTTTGGGTAAACACAACTCCATTTTCAAATAACTTTGGGGATATTATATTCTTCAAAAAAATATCTCAAATAATATGAGACTTGACAATTATGAAGAGCGATTTTTATTTGTAAGGTGCCCCTTTCTCTTTCAAAAAAAGGATTTATTCTGTTCTTCACTTAATTCAGGGAAGCAAAATAAGTCCAAATTATGTTTCAAAATAATTTTATTCTGTAGTTTGTGGTCTGTCCATTTCTTTTACTTTGTCCTATTTACCTTTTTTTTTTTAAATGAAAAGATATGAACTTATATAAATTAAGGGTCTGTTGTGATTGAGTTGACTGAGCTGAAGTGAATTGAATTGAGCTGGATTTATTGGAGCGGAGCTGAACTGAATATTTTATGAGAGAATGAAATTAAGAATTGAACTTAACTTAACTTAACTTATTGGAGTTGAATTGAACTAAACTGAAAATAATCTGAATAGAACAGACCCTAAGGGTCTGGTCTGATTTATTGAACTGAGTTGAATTGAACTGAATATTTTATGAGAGAAAGAAATTATAAATTGAAGTGAACTTATTGGAGCTGAACTAAACTGAATATTTTATGAGAGAAGGAAATTATAAATTGAACTGAACTGATTGAAGCTGATCTGAATTGAATATAAGCTGAATAGAACAGGCCCTAAGTATTATACGAAGTTGCTCCTTTTGTCATTTTAAAATGCAACAATTTGATCCAGCGGAGTTTTAATATAATTAGATTGAATTTGTTAAAATATTACATGGGGTATATGTCGATTTTGTTGGAGAACTAAAATCTTGTTTTCTTCACCTTAAAAAATAAATATTTAGTAAAATCCAAGTTCACTTAAGTGAAAATCAATAATGATAAAGAAGAATGTAATCGAAAATTAATAAAAATAATTTCAGTTCAGTAAAATTAATTTCAATTCAATAAAAATTGTTAGATCAATATAGTAAAAATAATTAATTAAAATAGTTTTTAATTATTTATAAAATTAAAAGTAAGCTATACAAGTAAAGAACATAATAAAATTAAACTAAGATGATAAAGTAGGAGTGGAGAGTTGGAGACAATGGAAAGAGAGAACCATAAAGTATTAACTTAGAAGTATTATTTTAAATACAAATTATTATATGTGGCTAGCCATGTCACTATGGGGTTATTTCGTTAGTGTTATAGAAGTTATTAGGGGTTACCGGACAATGTTATATGGGTTACTCAGTCAGGGTTATTATAGGAACTATTTTATTCTTTTACAAGTTGTCACATGTATGACTGACCCCACACAAAATGTGTTGTGTATTTTAAAAATGTGTTGCATTTCAAAATAAAGCAAAGGGAGCATGAAAAGGCAAAAAAAGTTGATAATTTGAAACTGTGTATGGAGTATCCATGTATGAATGTAACAAGATCCTAGACTTCTTTTTAGCAGAGTTTAGTTCACCCAATTTTGCTTATCTGATATGATTTGAACCTTTATTTAAATAATATAATTTGAATTTATTTTTTATGATCTAATCAGATTGCTTATTTTGACTATAATTTGACCTTATTTTACGCTAATATACTTATTATTGGAATTTTAATACTATGTATTTTATTAAAAATAATTTTCATAATTTTTTCATTATGGAATTAAATCTCTTTAGCAAATCAAAATAGCACATTATACGACGAAATATGTTTATAACTTTTTTTTAAGAACTGTTTTTTTCTTCTACAAATCAATAGTAAGGTGAACTAAACATAATCTTAATTGATACAATTTGACAAACACAATGTTATAGACAAATTTAAATATTTATTTTTTCTTTTTATTGTGCTATAGTTGGTAGAACGAAATATCGAAGATGGGTATATCCATTCTTATAATTTAGGAGTTTCATGATTGTCAATACATATTTTACAGTCCATCTTGTGTGTGGCTAGCCACATCATGTAGCTACTTATAAAAGAACAAAGTAACCATATAAAACTGACCAAGTAACCCCTTATAATACTAATTTAGTAACCCTATAACACCAACCAAGTAACCCTATAGCACTGACAAGTAACTCCTTTAATACTGACTAAAAGCTTGTTCACATTTACTTAATTTCATTTCATTTCAGTTCAATTCAGGTCCAATCAGTTCAATTCAGTTCAGCTTCAATCAGTTCAATTTAGCTCCTAATTTCCCTCTCTCATAAAATATTCATTTCAGCTCAGTTTAGTTCACTTCAGCTCCAATCAGTTCAGTTCAGTAAATGTGAACAGACCTAAATAGCCCCTATGACACTAACAAACTAATGTCATATATTTTATATGTATCATTAATCTCTCTAATCATTTTTAGTAAAATTTATAAAAGGTAGATATGTTGAAAGTATAAATTACAATGAATCTAACAATATCCTTATGATTATATTTTACATATAAATCACAAGAGGTCAATAATTATGTAGTATTAATATTAAATTTCAAACATTTTGCTATTACAAAAATCATAGATAATGTATTTTACATTTAGTAGGTAGTATGGTATTATTGTATTATTTTATTGTAATTTGTGGTATTGGAATTTTGTTGTTAAGTTAGTGGATAATTCCCATAATGTATGGGTCCAAAGTGAGGTGTGAGGAAAAAAAGGGGTCCAAGTAATTTATAGTTTAAAAATGTGTAAATTGAATATAGATGGTTTTATAAGGAAAATGTTGTTAATAAATTATTAAGTAACCAGGACTTTACATAATTAAAGTTTTTCCTCTCTTCAACATTGATAAATTTCAAATGATTTTTTATATTGGCATTTAGAGAGCCGTGTTACGAGAACCATAAGGGGAAAGTGATCAAACTTGATCACCAGATCTCCTGAAAACGAAAGGAAAGCTCTAAACTACTCGAGCTATCCTTCACTTTCAATATAGTTCGAAACATGACAAATCGAAAGGAATTTTTTTATTTAAATCAAAAATTGTGGTTCTTTATTATATGTTAAT